TATAAAGAAATAGTCATATGGAAAGACATAGAGTACACGGCAAATACAGACACTAAAAAATTGGCTGTGGAAGTTAATAAAAGACAAAAAAATCATGAAAACACTTACTTCATCAGCTATCATGCACCTGAAAAAAACAAAAACAAAAACAAATTAATTTCTTAATTATCAAAGCCAACCATTTTAAGAGTTCTGATTAAGCAGCTTGCCACAAAATAGTTTACAATGGTAAAGTACTAAGCCAAAGAGAGGTGTTTATAAGTGTGCACGAGAACTTGGGCCAGTGCTGATTTTTATAAGACTCTCCAGCTGCCAATGGCATATGGCTACGTGGGAGTGTAAGAGCTTCAGACATGCTGTTCCCCACTGTTTATCCATGGAGATAGCTACAATGACCCTTCAAAACTGGGAGCAAAATGGCAAGTGACTGTGCCAGTGACTTCCCCTCTTTCCATTAAACCTTAATATTGGTTTTCCCTAGAGATTACAAGGATGCTGCATTAAAGTGCAAGAAAATAAATGTCAACCAGATATCAGTATGTTAAACATATAATTATATATGCTATACTAGATATGTTAAGCCTATTTTCAAGATGAATTTTTGTTTCTCCTACCATTTTGCTAAATTTTCTCTATTTTTTCTTATTAGCCTATAGAAGTAAATTCTATCCATTGAAAATTGAAATTAGGGGGTATGAACTGAGGTCCTAAGGAGAAAAAAAGCAAAAAGCAAAAAGTTATAACAAGTATGTATGCATGGTCAGGACCATGAGGGGTCCCTTAGAGATAGTGAGTATATGATAAGGAGAAAAACAAACCTCTTAACTGAGGGGATTTCCAAGAAATCTAAGAAAATACTGAAATGCTATAAAATTTGAAAAGAATCAAGTCCCTATTTCTACTTCTCTCTTCCTTTTTCCCCCAATGTTCTTGAAATTATATAATTTTACAAGATTTCTTTTAACATAAAACAAATTAATAATTTGGTAATAAATATATAATCAAGGAATAAGTTTATAGGTAAAACAGAATTTCATTCTTAAAAAGAAAATGATGTCAGGTTACCTAATAAGTATTTTTATGAAAAAATAAAATAACAAATAATTTAACTGAAATTTAAAACATATGCAAGAGTAAAAAGTTTATTACATTTTTTGCAAACAAGCCTAAAAAGTAGAAATAAAAAAGCAATTTCGAAAAACATCATTTTCACAAAAATTCACGTGTATGTCTTTTTCATTTTAAAATACAATCCACATTTGATAAAGATGTCACTTGAAGTGTATATTATTTATTGAGTGTCTACTATGTATCGAGCACGGTTCTAAGTGTTGGGGATATAGCAGTGAATTAAAGTCTTTCTCTCATAGAAGGTGACTGGAAGAAGACAATAAACAAGCATATGATTCAAGTGGTGATAAGTGCTATTAAAAAAACTAAAACAGGGAAAGGTATCATAGGGAATGTAGAGAAAGATGTATTTTATAGAGTTATCAGGAACAGTCTTTTATGATAAGGCAATTTGAACAGATTTGAGCAAGACCCATAAATTGAATGAGAAAGGGAATTATGAGAAAATCTGAAACAGCTGCAGTCTCAACAAAGTGATGAGCAAGTGCAAGGGCCCTGAGGGAAGGCAGTAAGTTCGGTTTGGACATCTAACCTTTGTGAGATCCATTAGGTATCCAAGTTGAACTGTTAAGACTCATGAGTCAGGGGGATAGTCGGGACTGAGGATATAATAAATTCAAGAGTCATCAGAATGTAAATGGCATTGGAATGAGTGAGGATACAAGGTATTCTGAAACATGACAACTTGACTGTGGCTTGTTCTCTTCTATGTGCAACTCCTTGACTTTTTAGAATTAAGCAGCTGCTGAGACCTGCAGGCTGCTGGATAGACCTTACAGCTCTACTAGATAACATCAGAGCCAACTGATAGGCAGCTAAATTGCCCTGTGAGTGGCTAACCAACTGGACAGCAACATCAGGACCCTGGGCAGAAACTGATAGCCGTGGATGACTGGAATAGATTGGCTTTCGGGTATTCAAGACTCCTAGGGTAAGACTGCCTTTGAGCCCTCTGAATATGGTATATTTTCCTAAGACAGTATTTTCCTACTTTGGAAACTAGGAGAGTTCAGGTAGATTAGAGAGCATTAGGCTTCCTTCAGGTATCTCTAATGGGCTCACGGTCCTTAAACTTTAAGTACTATTCCCATTCCAACTTCTAGGATTCCTGCTATTCAGGATAGTTCAGCAACCAGATCTGATTTCCAATGAGACATCAAAGAAAAAATAATTGACCGTGTGAGAGGCCCCAACATTTCAAAGAGCAAAATAAGAGTGAATAATCAGAACATATCTCGTGAAAGAGAAGGGCTAGAAAATGGAAATTCCTGCACAAAAATTGTTTGAGCATTTAAGTAAATGCTAATGCCACAACCCCCACATACATAGTCTGTCTCTCTCTCTCTCTCTCTCTCTCTCTCTCTCTCTAAAGCTCAGTCATGACTTTCAAACTAAAAAGAATAGATGAATTTTTGAAAAAAGGATGATCAATATTGACATCTAATAAGGAGACTGGAAATTTAAGTGCAAGGATTATCTCGAAGCACAGTGCAGAAATTTAATAAAAATATTGAGGAAAAGTAAAAGACTTGAAGGGTAGATCTTGAAAATTAGTAGGTGAAATATAGATATTCAAAAGGAGAAAAGATACCACATGAAGGAGAGGCAACAATTAAGTAAATAAAATAAAATTTCTCTGGGCTGAAGAAACACTTCTGGTGGATAAATGGAAAGGGTAACCAAGTTTCAGCCTGGATTAAATAGAAAAGGCAAATCTGTACTCGCGTCCTTATAAAATTCATTAATCTTAACAATAAAAAGAAAACCTTATTAAGTGTTTAGACAGAAAAAACAATACCCATAAAGGGAAGAAACAGAACAGGCATGGGACTTATCATCAACAGTAGAAACTAAAAAACAGTAGAAGAGAATCTAGAACACTTGAAAGGGAAGCGGAACTCGGGAATCTTACATCCAGCCGAGAGGAGGGAAAAAAGTATTTCAGGCTAACCGAGATGTCCAAGATTATATGACCCAAACCATGTGAAAAAAAATACTTAAAATAACCAAACAATAAACAAATCTTAACACAGGCTGAAGATAGGACAAGATAAAAAGGAAATCTGGTAAGAAAATGATGCTTAATATGCATGAATTTAATGGATGATGCATATTCTAAATGAGAACTCTAAAAGCAGAAGGGTCTCATTCTGAACTCTGGAGGTGCGAAATTTAAGGGCAGTAACAAGAAAAGGGGTGCTAAAAGTACAGCAGCCCCCCGCTTACCTGTGGGGGTTCTAAGACCCCCAGGGATGCCTCAAACCTCAGATAGCACCAAACCTTATATGTTTTTCTCTTATACAAACATATCTATGATAAAGTCCAATTTATAAATTAAGACAGTAAGATGTTAACAACAATAACTGATAAAATAGAACAATTATAACAATATCATGTAATAAAAGTTATGTGAAACTAATTTTTAGATTTTTCACTCCAAATCTATTCCTGAAATTTGCATAACCATCCCTTGCAGTAAATGGCTTGATGTCACTGGTTTCAAGGTATCCCTTCCTCAAGTCCTCCTATAGGCTCAATGTTTCCTGGTACAACACGCTGCTGTCAGTAGGACCACATTTTCTGTTCATGTCTTCCACCCACTAATTTAATGCCTTTTCCATCATAACAAAGCACTTATCACACACTGGCCATAACTTCTGCAATTTAAGATACAACTGCAACACTTTTTCTTCACAATTTCATGGATAGAAGACTCATTCTTACCATAGATTTTAGCAACCCCAGCACAGGACTTTTTTTTTTCCTTTCTAAGTCCAGAACTTTCACCTTTTCACTTAAAGGAAGCACTTTATAAAGACTTCTCTTTGGCATATCCAAAATGCCAGCATCACTACTCTTGTGCTTTCAGGCCATTATTCAGTAAAATAAGGGGTAATTGAACAAAAGCACCGTTTACCGCAACTGTTGATTGAGAGGGTTACTAAGTGACTAGCTGATAGGCAGCATCTACACCTTGGACACGCTGGACAAAGGATGAATCGCATCCCATGTGGGATGGAGCGGAATAGCGTGAGATTTTATCATGTTACTCAGAACAGTGCTCAATTTAAAGTTTATGAATTGTTTCTTCCTGGAATTTTCCATTTAATATTTTCAGACTTCAGTTGACTGCGGGTAACTGAAATTGTGGAAAGCAAAACCTTGGAAGAAGGGCACGGACTACTGTATTTACAAAACTAATTGATAAGCCAGATTTGGCCCATGAAGAGTTAATTTGCAAATTTGTTTTAAGGTAGTCAGAATTATCTCTATAAATGCTGAGTTTTAATTTAGATTATAATTCAAAAATAGTACTTTAAAAATATTTTGGATTATCCGAATAACTAAAATCAGGTGCGTGTATATTTGGTGCTTTCTTTTGCATTTAGGATTGTATGAGGCATATCTTCTCCCCACCACTCCCCACACCTACACTGAATACTTCTTACTGTAGAATGCTGAATGAATAAAGATTTTTACAATAATTAGAAGAGAAAAAAGTAGAATAATCGAGATCTCTCTTGGCACATGCATGCAGAAAGTCATACTCATGAGGAAACTGTTATTTTTAGCTTTCAAGATTTAAACTTTGATTATCAGTAACTATGATAGTCAATATGAAATGAAGAATTTTTCTCTTCTTGATTACAGCTATAGTTACACATCTATTTGATACGGATTTCAGAGCTGACCTGATTTTTATGTGATAGAGGTGGCTGCAGGGTTTCTAAATCACTCCTCCTTAAAACGGGCCTTGGGATTTGTGACGGAGCCTGATGTTGCCTTCCCCAAGGCCCTCCTTCCCTCTTCCCTCACTAACACAACACCAGGAGTAGTTAGTTATGTGGCACAGTGTGTGGCCACTGAGACATTATCAGAAGTCACTGGGTGGTGATTCTGGGAAAACTTGTTAAAATAGGATCAATTCCGTTTGCAAGGGCCCTTTTGTATCTTCCTCTCTTCCTACTTCAAACAATGATGCCAAACCTGGAACTG